CGATATATTTTATGCCTGCTAATGTGTCATAGAGCTCATCTAGTTGAAGGTGGGATTATTTATGTAAAAATACATTGCGGTCAATATCTAGTTTGTAGTGGATGCAAATACTTGCGTATACATTCGCGTTCAGGATGAAAAATATTGGCTTTCCAAACTCACAAACTTGGACAGGCTAAATTGTTCCTATGGCGAAAATTTTCCTGAGTTAGACTTTCAATTTTGATATTAGGAAATATGGTAGGGCACAAGTCTTGATGATGCGGGGTTAATTACTTAGTCCTGATTTAACATTAGCAGTACGTTCATTTACTATCACCGATTAACCACCAAATTCTGAATACTGATTGAACACATTCTGTTAGTTCAGATTGATGAATCTACATTTCCTTGTCACAGTGCAATAAGTTTGGATAATCATTCGCTAACACCCAAGCATGACAGTGCGCTTCTGTCCATGATAATTAACGGAAACAGAACACTTTTTAAGATCGGTACCGGTTGGCCGTTGCACGTCTATAAAGTTGATTTACACAAAGGCACCCTAGGGGTCTTTTGAAAGATCTTGTATTGATTGCGGTAACTGAGGTATCATAACACTTTCCATTGTACCCAACTAATCGCAAATTTCTGTTTTTGCATTTTAAAGTTGCTGAACGCTGCACATGCTCGAGCTTGCTTTTAAAATCGTGTTTCGCCGGTTGGCATTGTCAGAAAACAGCTTTATTGGAAATTGTTATCTTACCTTTGTGTGAACTTTATATCGTCAACCTTGAACTAAGTACCCTAATTCTGCACAATACCGGAAGATACTTTTGTGTTGATGACAATACTTGACCGAAAAATGTGGTTATATAGCATTTAGCTGGTCCATTTTTCTCCACTTTGGTATTAGGTGCTGGCTAGCAGTACAAACCAATGTTGATCATTATTTCCATCCAAGTAGGGGATCGACGAAAGGCGTACCACTGACGAGCCCCAGTAGAGCACAATGAACGCCCAGTCATTACCAGCATCATCAACAGCAGTACATCAGCCTTTTGAACTGATGCTTCGCTGCCATACAACCATGAGGACCTATGAAATAGCGAATAATAAGAGGGAGAAAAGAAGGAATTTTCTGAAAATCTTAATGCCCTAAGCAAACATTCAAGTTTAAGGTGCCTACAACTTGTGTAGACTACATACCGTCACAAAAATCTGACTATCGTGCAGAGATAAGGCGGCATGAGCGAGACAGCTTCTGTGCGTCTTTCTATGCCCTGCGTCATTATCAGTCATTACACCACAGATATTTCAGCACCAAACACACAGTAAATATGCAATCCGATTAGGAGACGGTAGCAGAAACGTCCATGGTGTCGGTTGCGTCCAATGTCCTGTAAAATCTCGAGCCAAGCACAAGGCGGGTCACGTGGACTACCGCGCGGAAAGCGAGACGGACTAGCGGCACCTCACTTTGGTCGTCAGTGACTTCATTTCACGCTGCCAAGTCAACTTCTGTGCATCTCAAGCCTTGAGATGCACTACACCTGGCGGGCTGAACAAGGCCCTCCTAGGTAAGTGGTGACCAGACAAACGTAGCACGTGCCCAAGCCAACGCAACTTATTAGTGCTATCTCTTGTTCTAGGGAGTTAGCATGGTTATCACCAACTAGTACTCGTCTACGCACATCATTCTTGCGCACAAGCTGGTGCCATCTGACATCAGCAATGCTCCGCAGACAACCATGATCGAAGACTTGAAGGCGCCTCAGAACATTAAACCAAAGCAGCCAAGTCTCAATACCATAGAGCAGAACCGCCCTTTTAGTCGCCTTGTATACATGGCCTTACAGACAAAGGAAAACTCCCTTCTGACGCCAAAGATGCCGCAGGTTAAAGAAGGCAGTCCAGATTTTTGTAATGCGTGAGCTTACCTCAATTGCTGTGCGCCCATTGTTTCTTATGCAGCTACCAAGGTAAGTGGATTGATCAACCACCACGAATTCCTGGTTAGGGATTTTAAGGGGCATTAAGTGGCTGGTGGTTCTGCAGTAACACTTTGCATTTGAAGTTGTGTAGCGCATACCCAATGAGGGGACCACACTAGAGAGGCTATACAGAGTTGATGGTGCCGCGGCTACACCGTCAAAAAGCAAGACAATATTCTCCGCATAAGCGATATCAACTAATCTTTCTAAAAGCAAGACCTCAACGCCTGCATCGTGAGAGTCTGCAAGGCAAGATACACGATAAAATGTAAGACGAAATAGAATAAAATTGGGGAAGTCGTACACCCTGACGAACGTTACTTGTGATCGGAAATCTATTCGAAAGGTTACCGTACACCCTGAGGCGGCCCGCAGTGTTCGACTATGGAGTACGTAAGATATTTCGTGAGAACCGTTTTCCAGGCAAGTATTTCGAACAGAATTATTGATCGCCTAAATCGAACGCACTCTTGCAATTGAGGAACACCGCTATTGCCGATCTGCGGTATGCGTGGCGACGCAGCTACTAAAGTACGAGCGGCAATCCAGGATGAATTCACGCCATTTCTAACTTATGGCTATGTGGTCAATTTGGGACCATCTCTGGTCAGCTACAGGGAACGACAAACGGTACTTTAGCGGCCACTGTGTCTAAAAGCAGTGCTACTAAGAAACAACTGGTGTTCCGCACTCAGTAACAAGACGACCGCCGTTATAAGTCCGTTCGGTGGTAAGCCCAAAATAACCACCCAGCTGAAATTCTGAAGAGCTCAGACGCACTACTTGTGCGTTCATATCCTCTGCAAGTACTATAATAGCTGAAGTAGTAGCACTGCGTAGTAGCTCGTTTAGTTGGTGATAGAATGTGTTCTTGACAGATTTAGAACTGCAGTCAGTGGGAGCATAAACGGAAATCACAAACAAACAGCGTTTTGTATTACTTCGTGAATCCACCTTAGCTGTTGTCATCAAACGGGCTTCACATAAAATGCTGTTCACCGGAATCCAATCAACCAACTATGTTACAGCTTTGGAGCTTAGAATGATGCCTACACCAGCTTGACCCGTGAGTACTGCATCGGCATCTCCGAATGCGTGCAACCAATAACGAGACGATACACCAGGTGCAATCAATTCAATAACCCAATTAGGGTCATTGATTCTAGTTTCGGACACACAACATACATCAATACCCAGCGTGTCTAAGGTGCGTGCGAGTGCAGCCTGTTGACCAGCTCCTCTTAGAGTGTTAACGCTGATGGTCGCCATGGAAATGGAGTAGCGTGGTCTCACAAGGGACTTTGGTCGATGGGCGTCCGATGGATGCTGTGGGACGGTGGCGGCAGATGGTTCTACTCTAGTGGCACTTCGCTTGCTGTCAGTTAAGCTGGGAATTATAGTAGGAAGTTTAGTATTGGGTCGGGATGGGAGTAAGAGAAACAGGTGAAAAAGAATGAAGGGAGGCGCCAGCAGTGGCATGTTTTCCCTTATCCGCCCTGTTGTTTGCAGCAGATAAGTCGACTCTTGATAGCCTGCGTGACGGCTGAAGCAGGATGAAGTTTGTGATTGAGATAAATGTCATGGTTGTATGTGGGCTGAGATACTGCTAGGGCACGCACACCTAGACAAAAGAACAATTAGGGTCCTCATCCAAAGACTTTGGCTCCAAATCCTGTCTGCAAGGAATAAGGGGAGGTGGCGCTGATATAGTTTTACCGAAATGGACGCAATCCCATTTCAAACCCCCAACCTGGAGGACCAGGAGACTGAGTTTGTCGGGCCTCTCACCACTGACCAATCTGGTAGGAGTAGCTCTCAAGGTGCCAGGAAACATCACCCAGTATAGCTCATTGGGTCAATGAGATACGCAAACATTCACAAGAAATCCTGATGCCTATCTGGATTGGTAGCCCACCCTATGGACTTTTAATCTAATAACGATGAACTAAACAAAACGCGGATTTGTTTATTGGCAGCATGTGAAAGTCAATTCTGATCCATACATTATACCAATTTACCTTTGAATTTCTTTCTATGAAGATTTTGGGGAAAGGTTATGAAATGTTTAAGGCGGTGCTTGTCTAACAAATTACGCGCTCACAGCTTATCGTCCTCACATCTTCACACACTTGCCACTCCCTAAACAGATTACTAGGTATCCTTATTAACTGACATTGCAGTACTGTCGCTTCTACTAACATATTGGCAGAAAGTTTTCCAAAACGACACTCCATTAGGATCTGATAAATAATGGCGACTAAGCCAAATGCGGTTTCTTAATTTATTTTACTAAAATAACTATCTGCTAACATATGGCGTTGTTAATTGCCCATGTCACATCGAGATGGAAGGCACCAAAAATCTCCGGCCTTCGTCCACCGAAATTACCATATCTCTGCGTGTAACTTATACTGTTACAAAACGGATTCTAAATAGCGGCTGTCGAATTCTCGGTTTGAATGTTCCAAATTTGTGCAGAAAGGTCCAACATCATGCTAATATAACACATTCGTTAAAAGGTTAATAATGACAATTAGTCCGACGGACTCAACGGAAAGTGCAAGCATAGCCTGTAACCACCTAATGATAACGCTAATTTACAGCAATGAAAACTCCAGAATGAAGTGATGGCGATACAAGAAAGGCAAGGCAAGCAAAACGTTGGTAGCTGTGATCAAGATTATTAGGCAAATGCATTCGTGACACATTTAATCTGCTTCATAATGCACGCCAAATAATGTTTTCAAATAAACAAGAATGTATGTTCATGAGTTGCTGGTGCATCGCACTTTTTATAAGCGTATGCGCCAAATTCGAAGTGTTAGTGGTTTCAGAAATTTTTGGAACTAGACATTACCATATTCATTCAATTTTAATTTTTAACTTTGCGAAAATGTTCTTCCCTCAACAAGGAAAGTGTACCTCACTTTTGGAATGTACCCATTTATTCAGTTAAAGAGGGTACTCACACATCCCTCCAATTATTGATAAGAAATAGTTGATGTCCTGTCGCATTCTACCTTGTAGTTGGGAATATATGGAGATGAGATTGGGGAATATATACTGTTGTTCGACGGTCCAGATTGCATGGCTACACGGATGGCCGTTGTAACGGAGAAGGACGACACGATCCACATTACCAAAGGCAACACACTAACAGCCCTTGTAATCACAGACGAACAAGCGCCGCGCGGAATATTTAAAGCGGAATATGTCGAAGGTAGAATAATTCAATTATCTTGCTTGGAATTTACATATTTTGATCAATTAACTAAATTTACTGGCCAAACACATGGACATATACAGTTAGGGCAGTTGTCATTTTACGAACAGTATTTCATAATGGGAACGAAGCACAATTGATAACTAACTTCGGCGAAGCCTTAAACTTAGTGGTCAGCTTTCATTGTTGTTACGTTACATAATTTGCATTCAGGAATTCCCAACATATACTTATCACCTTTTCCTTGGTTACACTAGTACCATTTCACTGGATCTGTACTACGTTAATTACGGAAAATGAACTTTTATGTACTTCTTATGTTGCACGAAAAACAATTGAAAGTTGTTTTCCTAACTTGAACTATAATGGCCCCAATTAAGAAAATTTGTCCCCCACTGTAGTTTAGCAAGTATCGGCTACTATTGATTCACTTAATCGACGGCAATTATTACCATAACCCGAACAAAATATTTGGGTAACTGTGGACCAAGAGTCTTGTACTCATCTATAAAATTTACACGTGTAACGTTTATTTTTAGTTTGTTAACAATAACCATTTTAAGATGCTTGAAATACGTCCATTGGGGTACCCAAAGCATATATTGATTTGGCTTATAAATTGGCGCAATTAAATGGAGTGGTCTTACGCAGCAAAAACTGTGTCATAACTAGATGGTTAGGACTTTCTACTTATGATCTACCAAAGGATTTTCTCACGGTACTTCATCGAATGTAATGTTTTAAATTGGCAATCTGAGAAGAATAGCCAAAATTTGAATTCCTCATTCCTTTTAGACGCTTGCCTTGCATGTCATGACTAATGAAGGTCGCCATTAATTCATAACGCCCACTTTCGTTCATTCGCGCATATTGTGAGCATATTGTTCTCTAAAGTTTTCTCAGATTCAAAAATAAAATGCCTAACCTTAGGCGGTGTATGCGGATTGTACTATTGGTTGCATTTCACACGCGATCTCTATCCATGGGATCGTGAGATAATGTCCGTCTGCGTCGTGGTCAAAGCCATGTAAAGTAAAATTAGATTTTATACATCGGAGAAGGTGCATTTTTATCACTTTAAAATAAAATTACAGCTAATGAAGCAAATAAGGCTGATGTTAAATAAAAAATAAAGTCTCACAAACTTGTCTACATATAGCACTAGATCTAATAAGTTTGCATCAAAATACTTTTGCTAACGTTGGCAGGTACGGTAGAACGGAATTGGGTTAAGTACAGTAAGAGAAAATAGAACCTTAAATTAGGAGCGAGTAAAGTAAATAGGTACAATTTTTGTAGCCCACAATGTAGTGTATGAGTTTCGGAGTAAAAACTGGTCCTAGCATCCAAAGGCTTGTTAAGAATAAAATACACAAGAGAAGCACTTGACAACCTGCTGCATCTGAGTCTCTGTATAGACCGTACCATCAATGTGTAGTCATTTTTGAGCAACCAGCGTAGATTACAAGGGGATAGTACATTAAATGCGACGGTCTACATGCAGTCACAATTCTAATAAGTAAATCATGTGGTACTCAAATTATTTTAGGTCGAAGCGTATAAACAGTCAAATATCTAACAATATTTTTTCGTAACGTGCATACACCAAGATAAATTTCGGGATATAATGCCTTTTGATTTTTAAAGCACGATAGCGGTATGAACTGATCACCCATTGCCTATGGAGTAGTGGGGTCCAAAACAATTTTAACTTATCAGCTGGGAGAAATGAGATTGTAGCGTCATTCAGAAGGGTTTAAAAGCAGGGGTCCTTGCGAGCACCAAAGCACTAGTTACTCTAGGTTACTCTGAAAGTATGTGTTATCCAAACGGTTGGAAAAACGCATCCCAAAACCACATCTTCAGCTACGTTTATTTACTAAAGAGAGATGATATGGGGAGCTTATCATTTTATAAAGAAAACAAAGCAAGTGAGAAAATGGTTCCATGGAAAACCACGACTTTGCTCCATTAATCTGGATGTAATGAGTGCGGTTTGTAAAGTAGCAATTTATCAGGCCACAGACACTTATTGGAATCCCATTTGCGGAAGGCGGATTAAGCAGAATTTGTTGGTCAACGCAAACGAACACATCTGTATATTCGAGAAAGAGTAGACGTGCTTCCTCAGTGTTTGTAAACAATACAGATGCTACGGAATGCACAATAAGTGACACAGCATCCAGTGAGGACTGGCCCTGTTCGCAAGAGAGATGGCATATTTCGTCTTCATTAGTGTTTGTGATAATCGGAGGAGCATTTTATTCCTCGAAGATCTCTAACAGCACCAATGTATATACTATTGGAAGATAACTTTTGGAGCCATTCCTGCACAGAAGTAGTACCCTAACAGGTTTTCAAATGTAAGACATGGTGTCCAGCCATATCGGTCAAAAATTGCGGTCAGAGGTTCTACAGTGTAACCTGCACAATTGCTTATGATAAGTGAAGATAAAGCATTTTGGCCAGTAGCCTTATTTTCCTTAAACATGTTGAATTTCTGGCCAACATTAAACCTGTCAAAGGTGACTCTTGGACTTGTGTTTATAAATTTTGTGAAAGAAAATAAATGCTACCGAGAATCCAGTTTGTTCACTTACATCCTATACAGGCGCTAACGAGACCTTTGGCCACATAGCAGTTTGTAAAATCTCCAAAGAACGCGATCATCATGAGAGCCATGTATAGTCTCCAAGGATTAACGGTACAACGTTTCATGCAAAATTTGATCGCCAAAGAGACTCCCTAACTTGTGCATTTGTTTTAAAATTGTAGGCTTGGTCTTTCTATCTACTAAGGTACTTCAATATCGGCAAAAATTGATCCTTTAGTCAGAATCAATTTTTACAAGTGCCGTACAAGCGAAACAGAGTTTGATATACTCAATCAAATCTTCACAATCCAAAGATTGATTTGCTTTCTTGAATATTGAAATATCAGATAAAGTCAAAACCACTTGGAGTTTTGTAATAATTTCTATCGAGCGAACCCTCCGTTTGATAGTTTCGATGTTCTATTTTTCAAAAAGATAAATTTGGTTTCAGTATGCAAGACTAGGCAACCAACAGTGCAGTGATCTGAATTTCTCAAATGAGCTCTTAATAGTGAGGAAAACAAATACGCCTTATTTGCAAAGGCAAAAGCAACTGTACTTACTGTCTGGTTTCGAAGTTCACCATATCAGTTAAGCGGAGAGATTTGATGAAATCCATGTCACACTTGCTGAGATCCCCAAGTATAGTATAGTGGCAGCTCCGAGTTTCGACCCTAAAGCTAGGGTCAAATAAGCGGCAATATGCAGTTGCTCGTTATCATGCTGAGGTCAAAAATTTGTTTGCAAATCTTTCACCACCATGCAAGCTTGCATCGTCGTTGCGTTGACTTGCATGGTGAAATCACGCTAATTGTATTGTCTATCCGTAATCAACGTGTAGTATCGCGGAGGCAAGGCAACAAGAAGAGCAGCTACTTTTTAGAGGTTTCCAAATTAACGGATACCCGCAAGACTGCATCCAAAGGTGTAGGAATACAAACAACATAAAATGATGGGATACAATATGGTTTTATATGAAGAACATAACCAAAATGTCAGCAAGATTATTCAAAGAGTATCACCTCATCGTGGCACCCGAACCAACTGCCACTTTGTGGAAAAAGCTGTCAATAATAAAGAAAATACAGGAGAGCCTGGACCAGGTATTATTGTATTTGGACTTGCTTGTAGAAATAGCAAATTGGACGATGTTAGCCCAACAGAAAGAAAATTAAAAACGCGAATACAGGGGCATATGAGCGTGCAAGAAGCACTATCACCGCTAGTTTCAGCGCACGTAGACAAAAAGCAACATAGATTTGTTCGGGTCAAAATAGAATTCCTGGCATGCAACGAAGCAAGCAGAGTAAGGGAGTTCCTGGCAGCCTGGTTCGCAACGAAAGACGCAATCAACCAAATGCTAGACATCTACCCAGTATACCCAGTATATCGGAAAGGACTTGGAGAAATTACGAGACGCCGCTTGAATAGATACAATTCGAGAAACGACTTTCACCCCTGGGAAAACGTGCAAAGATCACGGGACGCAAATCAAAGCCGTCATTTTCAAAAAATCACCTACAGGTCGATCACGGATAAACAATTCAATAGCGAGATAACACTGCATCCCAATGCACTGACGATACCACCTCAAGGATTGATAAAACGTTTGCGATCGAAGGAGCAATTGAAACATCAACTCGAACTAACAATTAAATGGCAGCTAACGTTTAACGTTGAGTATGTACACAACAAAGCTACTGGTCTACACCAGAGTTACATGATGTAAGTGAAGAGCCCTCCACTGACATTACGCGAATTTCCACGTATGTTCGTTCTAATGACATGATAGTCACTGAGTTGCATAACCTGGTTCTCAAAGTAATGTTGACGACAAAGTTTTGAAGCAGGACAATAACTGAATTTGCAAATTGCTTGCGCATCATTCTGGCAATATGTTCAACCATCTTAAAGAGGACAGAACGCATTTTGCTGACGGGAATCAACTGGATTTGTTCCCTACTTACAGAACATTCTGAGGCCAATTTGTCAAGCAGCGCGGTGAACAATTATTTTATTAATATGCTTATTGACATTTTATTGGTGGTATTTTCTGGCATGTTTATAGCATTCGGCGTAAGGTGTATTACCCGCGGGGCTTCGAAACAATTTAATAAATACAGTAGAAGGTCGCAAGCAACAAGGACGAACTCCAAAGGTTGAGTAGGAATTTCATTACACAACTGATAGCATCTACAAGTGGAAATTAACGTAAAAATAGAAGGAAGAAAATTACAGTTCACCACCTTGTCTGAATTCTTGTTCTCTTGCTCTATGTGAGCGGCAAGGGCGCTCTGAAAGGCAAGTAGCTGAGAGAGTGCCGTCAAAGCTGCCGGTTTATTTCGGTGGTGCACCAAAAAGAAGTTCTTTCTTTATTACCAAGCGTAATTTATCACAGTTGCACTTCGAATTGTGTATTAAAATAAAATTCCAAGAAAAATCCAATTAAATGGACCTATCGGCAGAGGATCGCGTAAGAGACAATAATCCTAAGACAAAAGAGCAAAGGTCAGATTGAGCGCCTATTCCCACGATAAACACTCGGGGGTGTATTGACACCATAAGCTCGGTTCAACCAATGCACACAAATTATACTCAGCTTTGCAGCTAAAGCATAGCACTGTTTGTAATCGACCCAAAAGAACTTGGTTATATTATAAGTGAATCGGCAACCACATTGTCTATCGGCATTTCATCGAACATTTATCAAGTACACTAAATTAAAAATAACCATTTGATTTAATGGTGTTGAGGAAAAGACAAAACACAAGTATGTTAACGGGTTTTGCTATGTAATGTTTAAATAGTACTAAAATATCAGTGTATACATGCAGATTATTCCCAATGAAACATGCTGGTTTTTGGCGTACCACGAATATGTACCATGTTTTCAGCTGAATTAATGTGAATTTTGTCTCTTTCTAGCTGCAGAATTCACTTGTATCGTATATATATATATTTAGTCCCAATTTTATTACTTTGTTTACACCTACAAGTTTAATAGATTTACTGAGCTTGATCTGCTTCTTCCTTTCGCTTTTTCACTTTTTCAGTAAAGAATCAGGGTAAGAAGCATCTGGCACTTGATATCCAATTCAACTGACATTTGCAGTCTATTCAACGTTAGAGCTTTTTGCGTGGCAAAAATATTTAATCAGTTTATAAATTTTAAGGCGGTAACTTTCAATACGACAATAACAACTTACTTTTAACACGTAATAAATAAAGTCCAATATGTACAAGACAGCAATATTTGCCCCCGTGTCACCAAAACATTGACATCCTTTTAGTGGTTAATACAGCAAGGTGGTTTACATTGTTTTAGCCTAACATTGAGAAAGGCTTGCCTTTTAACACGTATGGCATCATTCTATTCATTTTAGACCCAACGAGACCTGCTACCGTAATGCGTGAGTAATTATTGCCAGTTGCACTGCATTACCAAAATTAGAACTTATTAATTAATGAGCACTGGTGAGGTTTTAAGGTTTTTTCCGATTCGTCGCAACTAATTCCGGGCAAATAGGACGTTTAGCACTACAGGGTCTTGCAATCAGCGCGCCCTGCCGTATTCTAGACATTGCCTAAGTTTGTTAAAACAAATCTGAAATCACCTAACATAATTATTATGAATCTCCGAAATCGTTCTCAAGGCAGGGTTTCCATTTATCATTTAAGCTAATGTTTAAGGCAAAATTGAACATTATATATCAATGTAATGATTGCAGACTTTATATTGTTTCTGTTTATTTATTGAAGATAGCTTAATGCTGTATAAAAAGCATGGGAAAATTTAAATACATTATGGGAATGCAATTTTAGGTTAAACACAATTAATCGAATTTTATTTTCTCTGGTATAGTGCTTTTATTTCTTCGCAATTCGCAGGATTCGTTGCAGACTAAGCAAACAACTGGCTGGTTGTTGTATCCCTTATGTATGGAAGATGTTTAATCACTGCTGTTGATATATACTCAGTGTGGCAATTCCAAGCTAATAACACGCTGTACAAAGCGAACGATAGTCAAAATCGCCGTCTAGTTTAATAATTGTAGTTCATAATGGATCATTTTTAATCCGCATGCTATGACGATTTCCAAAACCATAGCTAAATAACACGTGTTTTCGGAAGCCTGCAGCTAAGGCTAATATGGTCTGGCTCCGATCTACTTCTCATAATCTTTAGCGATAAGAAGCAATATGCCATGATTGGGCAATGGATCCAAATGCGCAAAATTTACCGACTAACCACATTTAAGTTAATAAATGAAATTGCTTAACCTGGCACAATTTCAATCAGTCGATAAGAACTAAGTAAAAACTTGTAGGAAAGCCTCTCAACACTTCAAGGGACTGGCATTTACAAAAGTTGCAGGGCAAGAGTAACTGAGGTCACTTCCTCCTTTAGATTGGTAAATGTGTCATTCCGATTGTTGCGACGGATCATTCTTTTTTCTTCGTGACACATCGGCTTGGGCAACAGTTGCTTCAGCTAATCCAAATATATTTACATGTTGCTAAGTTGTAGTGGACATGACTGTTATATATTACTTTCGAAGTTCCTCAAGCTAGTCGCTATTGTCGTACAATCTATCGTCAAAAAGGTGATTACTTTCCTCACCTGGTAATGGTATGATTCACTCCTTATAACATAAGAAATCATATCATATCTTTTCCACCTTCAGTCAGCGCTTAATTAACGGCAGACCAGTTGAGACATGAACTTTTAAAGTTTCTTGGCGGTCGACAAAATGGAGAGTATGTGCGCAATAAGTTACCGGAGAGGCCGCACATAGTGAAAGTCATTTCTGTCAGTGGCACCTGAAACCCTTATGAAGTTCAGATAAAATGAGCCACCGAGAGTATTCCGAATAAAGTTAAATTTCTTTTCGATGAGTTTCCGGACGAGCAACCACTGTCTGACTATGCCTAGATTTGACGAAACTCAAATTGCACTTATTTTACAGTCTGAATTTTGCAACTCAGTTACCAGCTGTTAGCTCGCTTGACAGAAACACACTTACATTTTTGGACAGCATTTTCATGGCTTTTCACAAGACATGGTAATTCGCAGATTCCATGCAATGAAATAGCTATTGCTTTCGTTCTAAGCAAAATCACCGGTTAATTAGTTATTTCATTCAGGCCATAAAGAAAACAGTTCCTCCAAAGTATTTCCCGTTTGAATTTAACGTATAAATTATCTGCAGTTTTGTTCAATTTTTATTATTTTTGAATAACAAGTGTTGTAAGTTGCGCCTAGAAACATATCACTACCATATTTGGCAAAGTGACTAATTATCATTAATTTTTATGACGTTCTCTTCTTAGCAAACAACCAATTGCTGAGTAAGTTTATGTTTAGTTAAGATAACAAATCAAGCTAGTGTTATCAAGTTGCCCTTCAAAAGATCTCCTAAATGTGAAATATTTCTGTTATCTAATTTGACTCATCCGTTCACCGTTGAAAGCTTTATCAAACGAGCAGAATACACAGCTTATACCATAATATTCTGCGAAGTGGGATATAACTCCAATTGTGCCCAATTTTTATTTTTGTCCAGACACCTAACAATAAATTTGCCCGCTCTAATTATGTCGACGCAGCGTTGATGCAAAATCACTTCAAACATACAGCTTAATAAATGATAATTTTGAATAGCGTCAAAATATTTCTTATATTAACAGCGCACAAGCAAAGTTTACTTACCACAACAGGGTGCACGAAATCTCCTAAAAAGCTTGGTATTACTTAATTCTAATCCCCTTCCTTTACATTTATCCCCGAGAGTAACTAAGCGGTTGATTTGGGATACATGAAATTCGGAGCTTGCTTTCTCTTCTTCAGGAACCAAGTGTTAGACTACTGAAATGCTTTAGTCAAACATGTCAAGCAACTATCTTATAACCGAGACCGGATAAAATTGCGCATAATTACGACGCATTTATCGATATCGATTATGTTGTAAAGTCCTTGTACAAATATCCATGGTCGAAAAGTATTTGTTTGAAATTATGATAACACTTAGAAATACACTGAGTAGTTGTAATATGTTATTGGATTTATTACGTTGTTCACCTTAAAATATTTCTCAATACTTCACAAGTGTATTGTTACACGCAACACGCTGTAAGTCCAAACTTCGGATTACAAATGTTAAAGAGAAATTTGCTTATTACGGTGTCAGATTGAATTGGAATCAAATCTTAAAGTGAATGATTGTGGTAAGCTCTTGATTCGCGCAAGAACAAGTGTTCGCTATTCACTAGCCGTTCATAAATATAGCGGTTACTACATACGCATAAGCTTTAGGCGCATTACATGATCTAGAGAGGTCGAGAATGTTTATGCAGCTATTAATAATAGTTACTTTCCAACAGCAATAAGCTAAATGCGGGGTCCTGTAACATGCAAATCTTGCATTCCTCGAAGTATCGCAGTTATATTGTAAAATTTGCATGCATATTCGTTAAATATTGGGATAAACTGGTTCCAGAATAAATTAGACCGCCACATTCCGCAGAGATTTTGGCAAATCAGTCATGATACCGCGATATTTAATCAAAATGTAACTAGTCATCAAGAATATTTTTAAATAAAACATTTCAACGGTAACCGAATAATAATGTTACCGATTTCTGTTAGCAAAATACGATTGTTTCTGAAAGAAACCAGGTAGTTTATCGAGAGACACCTATTCATAGTTGGTTTCTATTTTTGCAATGTTTTGCAGATTTACTAGTAAGGTTTTAGTGCATCCGCACTCCATGGCTCAACGGGCTAAAATCGCGCTCTTCATGTTACAATGACTCTCCCTTTTATTGATTCAAATTGTTTTTAATACCGCAGAAATTGTTGGTGTTCACACGAACAAGTATACCTGGTTAACCCTGAATGGAAACATCAAAACATCTACTTAACCCAATACCATGTTAGTGGTTCACTATTATCTCCATGAAGATGAAGCCTAAAATGTAAGAATATTGGACATAAATGTTTTCCCAGAAGCCCTTTATTCGGCCACATAAAATAGAGTATGCAAAGAAGCCGTATATAACTTCATACATGTACACAGTGTGTTGGGGTTTCTTACCGTGTTTGTTCGTGGGTTTCAGGAAATTGCGGTGCCGAGATAATCGGCAATAACGGAATTATATCACGAAAAGGAGGCAGTAAAGGCAGTACACTGTGTATCTGGAGAATAACAGTTGATGTTGGAAGGAAAATAAAAATTCGGTTGCGTGAGTGGTCGGTAAGTCAAGGGATTTGGTTTAGTTATTTCAAGTTTGCGACAATAATTCTGTGGTTTGTATATGAAAGTGAATACAGGAAATATAAAAGGCGCAATTCAATTGGCTATAATACTCTTAATAAAATGATTACTAGGCTGTATCAGAGCATTGCTGTTCAACACTCTGAACACATTTGTCTGCTTGTATTACACTGAGCTATGTGGTAGAAAGTAGTTGAAAACCCATTGAATGTAGTCCAAAGAATGTAGTTTCATTGCAGTTGCTCAAAGTGCATTTTTTAAAATCGTGCAAGTAACAAGTTCTTTAAAATATGCATTTACAATGTGCGAAGTTAAGCGTTGCTTAATGCCATATGAATAAAGCTTTTCCTCTATTTGTATTTCTTCCTTATATTCAAAAATGCACAGAGTTCTTTATTCTGTTATTTTGCATTATTTTAATGTTCATCAATGTAAATGGTCGCCTGCAAGACTCGAGCTCTGTGCTCACTCTGCGATCCCTGTCAGGTGACACCAGCAGCCATTTCCCATTGCGCCTATCCGATGACGATGTAGCTTCGAGCACCGGCCAAGCCGGCGTTGGTATTGCCCTTAGTCCCGGGCTGAAGCGACTCTGGTTGATTAGATTCCAATCAGTAGCCGGATGTGTGCGGTCCAATTGGCTGGCTCGTTCAAAGCTTCGAAGTCGCGCGTTACTAACAGGTGTCTATTAGTTATCGCTCTCTATGCACCGACGAACTGTAGCGATGACTCGGTAAAAGACGACTTCTATCGTCAACTGAACGAACTCTTTCGTCAGAAAAATTTCGGACACCGTTGTGCTGGCTAGGCATCTGAACGCTCAAGTTAGAAAGTTATCCACAGATGAGCTGCATCTGGGCGGCCAACAAGGTGTAGGCTCCCGTAATAATAACGGTGAGCGGTTACTTCATTTGTGTGAGGATGCTCACTTATTTCTTGCTGGCACTAATTTCCGGCACAGCACACGCCGGAGAGTGACTAGACGCCCACCAGCCTCAAACCAGCTATGGACGCAAATCGATCACATAGCGATAAATTACCGATGGAGTGGCTTCGTCCAGAAATGTAGCTCGATTTGGAGCACATGTGTAGACACCGACCATGCACTTGTATGCGCTGACCTGCGGATGCGTTTCGGAGGACACCCACGACGACGCTGTGAATGCATTGACACCAGCCAAAGTGCGCAGCCAGCTGTGCTGAATGCCTATCAAATTGCACTGTCATCCGAGTTGGATAAACGCTCACTGGATGCGATTGAAGGTCAATGGTCTCCTATTCACCAGACCTTAATAGCAGCAGGAAAATCCTCGTTTGGTATGTCCAACCGTCAACATGGACACTGGGTCTCTTCGCAGTCACTGGAAATTATTAGTGCTCGCCGGTATATTCCGGCTGGAAGCGAACACAATGAAAAGCGCAACGGCCTCCGAGCAAAACTCCGTGCTAGCCTGAAAAGAGACTGCAAATCCTAGTGGTCTCATCGTGCACCAGAGATGGAAGTGGCAGCTGCCCTTGGTAACCATCGTAAGTTATTCCGGCTGATACGGGAATCGGGCAACAGGCGACCTGGTGTTAGTGAATCAGTTTGTGACGTGAGTGAACAGCCTATCCACAACTTGTCAAAAGGCTTGGAACGTTATGCTGAGCATTTCGGAAGGCAACTTAATCGGCCGGAATTGTTAGATTTCTAGTCGACCAATGATTGCTAAGCTCCCTGGGCTGTCCCTTTGGATATACCTCCTCGCTCAGAAGTCAAACGCGAGGTCGAACTGTTGAAGTTAAACAAAGCCGCGGTACCTGGTGATCTTCCTCCTGCTCTCTTCAAATTCGGGGGACTTACTCTTGTGAATGAGTTACACGAGTAACTTGTCAAACTGTGGGAGCAGGAAACTGTCCAAACCGACTGGAGCCGCTCCGTCATGGTCTTAATTTTTGACCGTGCCTCACGATCGGAATGCGGCAGCCATAGAAGAATCAGTCTGATCTCTTTCGCTTCCAAATTGCTTGCCTCTGACATCCTTCACAAACTGACTGGCACCCGTGAAAAATAATATTCCTGAAGTACAAGCCGGGTTTCGTTGAGGTAGTGGCTGCATTGACCACATCTTCACTTTGCGTCAGTTGTTGGAGCACCGTCACATATATTGGCGGCCCACCGTTGTCGTGTTTCTCGATAGCATTCGATTCGGTGGATAGATTTGCCCTTTGGGACTGTCTACTCAGGAAGGGTGTACCTGAGAAGTATGAAAATATTATCCGACCATTATATGCGCGTAGCTCTAGCAGAGTAAGGGCTTACGACAAGTTGTCATCGCCCTTCAATATCTCCAGCGGTGTGAGACAAGGATGCCTGCTGTCACCTTTCCTCTTCAACTTCGCTATTGACGAAGTCATGGAAATCGCGTTTACAGAACACGACTTAGAAGGTGTGGGTCTGCTCCCAGGAGAACGACTGTTTTACTTAATCTGTGACAGCTCATAAACGTGCCAAGTTGCACTGGGCAGATTAGCTCTAGCTGTCCGTCACTTCGGACTTTTGTTTGCAGCCTCGAAGTGCAAAGTGTTCCTCCAATTTGGCCTGAACCGCCTCCTACGCTGACCTTTGTCGGGGATCAGATAGAAATCCTTCAAAAGTTCAGTTATCTGGAAAGTTGTATCAGCGCCCGTGGGATTGAAGATGAGATCATGAACCCTTTACCAAAAGCTCGGGACGCTTTTGCTAATCTTCGCTACTTATGGCGCCGGCCCGGCATCACTCTTGCCCTAAAGCGTAGAGTGTACAATGCAGCGGAACGTTCGACCCTACTGTGTGGTTGCGAGACCTAGCCCCCTTAAAGCAGCGGGCTTGAAGAGGCTAGTTAATCTCGACCACTGATGCCTTCGCAATTTAGCTCACATCTGTGGGAACACTGCGTGGGTAAGGAGCGTGATTTGTTTACGGCACAGGAAAAGGAAATAAACCGCTTAGCGCCGTTATTTCACGCAGCAGGCTCCGATGGCTCGGCCAAGTGTTACGCATGTCAGCCTACCGACTCCCGCGAAATGCATTGTTTGCGCGCCGGGGGTGTGGATGGAAAAAGAGGAGGGGTGGCCAAAATATGACTTATTTAAGAGAAATGAAAGTCCTCACTTCGAAGCTGGCATCAATCGGAGTTTCTCGGCTCCCTGGTTGGGGTCCGAAAGACGATGAATACGTTGGGCTGGATACACTTGTTGATATAGCTAGGAGCCGACCTCCGTGGCGTTCGTGCTGTGAGGTTCTTTGTCTTACCCCATCCCACTTAGCCTCCCCTCCAAACACTATTTCACTAGTTAGCTTTATATAATTTTGCATGGTTCTTCTTTTTGATGCACAGTAGTCGGCTGGTAGCTTACCGGAACGAAGCCCATTCGTTACTGGTTGCTCAGCCGGCTTGCGCCATTGCATTTTTTTCTTTTTTTCTATGTACTGCGGCACAGTAGCTAAGGTGCTTCCCACCTCTAGCTATCATGTATGATGAAGATGATAATGATGAGTGTAAATGGTCTGCCTATGAGCACCGCTTGATATCAATATATAAAACTAGCAAAAAATCATGTGTTCTACATGGTAAAAGTGTAAACCATTCGTCAAATCCTCTCGTCGGCGTAACTCAGACGCTGTTGCAAGATCTACGTAGAAAGCATTCTGTACCATTAAAACGGTTTCTTCAAGACGCAAAGTGCCTCGACTAAATTTGATGGGGCCCGGGTATTTGCTTCCTTCCAACATCTTAGCAAGGAAAAGTATCTATTTCTTTACAAGCCAATCTATGTTAGGGATAGCATGAACTCTACATATGACCTTTGGCGGTGGAAAGGAAACTTTCACTCTTGATATTTCACTAATGACCGCTTCAAACTAGTTAACCTATGCCGCATATAGCCTATCCTTTTTTAAAATGCTATAGATATTGCGTCTAGCCAGAGGACGTAATAATCTTGCAGACTAGCTACGGTGATCTGCTAAGGTAGCAACCTATGTGGCAGTGGTAGGTAAATTAAGCTAAATCCCGGTTAGCTTGCAATTTGTGTAGCCCAGCCAAACTCCCGCATGGCCAGTTGTTATCAGTCTCTAGCGGCCATGGTTTCGATCCCTAGTAGGGAGCCAAGGGAATAGCACCACCGACGATCACCAAATTGCGAAACGCATCTAGTGAGTTTCCGGACTACGCTATGATATGTAGCTTACGAGCTGCTGCGATTCGAATGCATTAAACTACAACTAAAATCCTGCTAGCCACGTGTATTAGTTTTGGAAACGCCAGCCATGCCCTGTGGTTGGCCAAGCAGTTTGATTGCATAATCTACCATGAGCGAAAACACCCTTGCCATTCTCAGACGTGAATCCAACAGAACATAATGGGACCAGCAATTCACACTTCACAGGTAGACAATTTGCATCCCTGCGTCGTTAGTATGACTGTTAAGCTAAATGTTACAGGTGGGTCAAATAAAAACTACTTAGCTTTCAGAATAGACAAATCATTAGATATAGTAACCAATTATATTTCCTTTGGTTTGCTTAAGCAGTCCTTTAACGCGATGTTTCTCAGTTTAATGAAACAGTACAGCATGCTAATACTTCAATTTACGCTTGTGATACATCTAACTAATCTTTCAACACAAGGCTGTTTTCCCATTGCTTTGTTTTACCCCTCGCCGTAGTTAAGATATTTTGACAAACATCACGTTTACACTCTTTTCTCAATTAAACTTGACATTTGCTATGCGTCCAACATGTAAGGAAAATATGCAATGCGGTATCTGCGATTCCATTGTCCAGAGAATGTGGAAAACGTATTTCCGTTGAGAGAAATACCTGCACAATAATATCGTTAGGGATGGGGTGGACATATTCATTTTCCACTGTCTTGTAAATAAGGAATCTGAAATTCGTTGCTATATTTTTGCATACCCCATCTCTGGTGATGCTATCTTGCAGGCCATGCTCTCAA